TCAGCTCAACTCATATCATTGTGGGAAAATTCTACTACCAGTCCTTCATCGCCTTACACGAAATAGGGTGGATACATCTTATTACACTGATTTACTGGTAGTCTCGAAACCCTACTATCATACGAATATAATTTTGCATAGCCTCACTTCTCGACAGGCATTTTAATCCAACCAAGAGTGGACTGCGATTGCTACTGTCTCATGCGCACCCTTGGCGGGACTCGAACCATGACAGTGCAGATTGTAATCTCGACATTTTAGCAACTACGCCGCATTGCCACAGGTCAGATGTGAATTTCAAGAAAGGCCAGGCATCTTCCCATATCACACTGTGTGGTAGGACTGGACTGCAGTCCAATCCAGCCGAGGTGAGAGTGCCTTTTAGTAGGCTTCGTGGGGTCTACTCATATGACGGGCAAAATTCAGATGTGTGTATCCGCCCGCGTCACCTCATATGACTTTGTGTGAAAAAATTTCTTAGTCCCATATTTTAGCTGGTCGTATTTGAATGGCTGGGCACTAGTCGCTTTCTGATTGGCGGACTCCTCTCGGCTAATGGGATAAGACCTTGGGAGCTGGCATCTTTGGGCTATGCTTGCACCTCTTTCCTCGTACTTTATTTACCCTCGCCTCATAGCCCTAGCTTCGGCCCCACTCAAAAGTGCTCTAATCCGTCGCCTCCTCTTCACCCTGTGCGCTTCCACTCTAGCGCCTGTAGAAGGGATATGAATATGTATGAAAGTATGGAGGATATTGCATAGATGTCGTGGAAGTTTCGGAAAATATGCTGGATAATCTTGACAAACGCCCATTTTGCCAAACTGGTGAGGCAATAACGTCTCAGAAAAGTGTTTGCATTGGCCCACATGGCCATGTCTGTTTTGTCCCTGGTGAGAAGAAACCATCCTAGAGGCAACAACTTCATCACTTGTCACCCCCGGCAAAGTGGAGCCAAGCTCACATGGTCCTCCTAGACGTCGGTATGCACCAGCTGCTGGGACTTTGGATTCTGTTCAACGTATGCCTTGGCAGAACTGGTAAGACTTGCTATTCTCTTGGCTTCCTTTACAAATAACTCCAACTAAATTCCTTTTTCCCTCAGTTGGCTGGGCGACATTCTTAATGTACAGGCTCTGTAGGCTTTACAAGTTGGAGAGTAGTAAAAAACTATGTCCTTGGGGTAATTTTCACATCTCGCGTAGGCTAGACCTACTGGATTGTGGCTTTGAGATGTGGCGGTTCTAAAGCTTTTCCTTAATGGGCACCAGTCGAGAGAAACATTATTCTTTGGTTATCCTCTCAAATAAACCTGGCTATGGAGTTTTTCAAAACGACATTCTCGACAAGTGATGCTAGCATGCTTTACATTTCTTGTAAAGAGGCGAGGAGAGGATATCCATAAGTTGCTCCCTCCGGAAGCCGAAGTAGGATTGCCTTGTGGCTGACTGTAGCTTTGTGTGGATATGTCCTCGCCTCACCATCCTGCAACCTTGAACAATCCTTGCTGAGCTCTCGTCCGCCATATGACTAAAATCATCAAAGCAGAACACCATATTTTATGATATTTCACCAAAACATGTATACCGACTGCAATCATTCCTACCCTTGTCCACTTAGTGAGGCGTCTTATGACCTAGTTGGATATCCTATGATTTCCCCACATGCTTGCTAAAAAGTGATGTGGCTATGGATGACATGTGAAGTGGCTACTGATGAAGCGTGAAGAGGGTGCAATTGTGACCCAAAAGCTGCATTCTTCCATACATCACTTATATATTTGATCCTTAAATGTTAACGCATGTCGTTACGCTCCATTGAAAGTGAATGTCAGAATATGGATCATGAAACTGCAAGAATAATGGTAGATCAGGAAATGGATCATGGAGAGATGATGATCAAGATATGTATGTATTTATGTATGTATGCATGTATGTATGTGTGTATATATTTGTATATATTTGTATATATTTGTATAATGTATGTATGTATGTATGTATGTATGTATGTATGTTTGTTTGTTTGTTTGTTTGTTTGTATGTATGTATATATATATGTATGTATGTATGTATGTATGTATGTATGTATGTATGTATGTATGTATGTATGTATGTATGTATGCACGCACGCACGAATGTATGTATGCATGCATACACGAATGTATTTTTGTGTGCATGCATGCATAAATGTATGAATGTATGAATGTATGCATCTATATATATGTATATATATATTGCATATTAGTGCTACCATCGGATTATTAGACGACTCGAAGAATCCCTTAATAATTTGGTGTCCTATGACCACTATGACCTGACGACTTGCTAACCACGAGGAGCATTGCAAGGCTCTGATCATCGTAACGTCTTATTGA